TGCTGACATGCTTGCGGGAGTGTTGACGAGAATTTCAGTGTTTTGGGGTTGGAGCTGTAGTGTCTCCAACTATTTAGGGGAGAAACAGGTTCTCCACTTCAAGTATAGTATTAGCTGTGGTATGGAGAGCTGTAGGTATATTGAGAGAGGTTGACGGCTTCTTTGATGACATGAGATGTGGGGTGTCACACCAGCCATTTATAAAAAGTCCAGCTATAAAACAAAACTTCTTGACCAGAAAAATGGTGGGAATGCAATTTAAAACTTTATAACAGGACAGAAAAACAAAAAAACTGACTGGCTCTCAGTTAACACAGTGGTAGGTTGGCAGTGTCAGTAGCACGACAGTGGGTTACCATGGTAACAGTCAACTGGTGGTCATAGTGGGTGTCTGCGACATGGGTCCGATTGAAAACATTTTTCAGCAAATCCGTGTAAAAATCATTTGTGTGTTAGTTGTTCTATAATGGAAGGAGACAACAGAAACTGTATTTTCAAAATGGGTCAATTGGTTCACATGGTTGTTAAATTTAAAACTACTCACAACTCAATTCTTAAGTGATGAGAAGCTTGAAGAAATTGTGGAATGTGTAAGCATGGTAATAGTGCAATTGCGGAATGTGTAAGTATTATGGTATTCGTGCAGCAACGTCAAATTGAAACTTTAAAAAGACATCGAAACAACCAGAAAATCCTCATTATAAGTTTAGTCTAATATGGCACTTTTTTAGGGGTTACATGATGGCTTATTAGTGTTGTAATGGCTGCATCGTTAAAATCCAATCATAAAGAACTAATTATCACAATCTTATTCTGACCCTTGACCCCTACTGGAGCTCACTCGGCAACGCCTCATATGGCTTACTCGTTTCCTGCAGCGACATACCCGGAAATGACTGTGTTCGCTCGTGTAACCATGGTAACAATGGCTAGTGGGTCCTGTTCATCCTGATTGTGAAACTGGATTCCGATTTAAGTATTGGCCATGAAATTATACCGCAATTAGAATAATCTAATTGAAAGGATGCAAATCTTTATACAACTTCTCCGTCCAACTTCTCCAGATGCACTATCTAAAGCAAACTGAAAAAATAAACGTGTTCGCGGAATTGTGGAAAGCAAAAATTAAAGAATTATAAAAGCTCTGAATACTGATGACGAGCTTTTTGATCATTACGGTAAGTATGTTTCTCTCTCTGTTAAAGGAATCACAAAAGGAACTGCTTAGATTGGAGCAAAAAGTACTTTGATGTGGGAATAATGGGATAAACATCTGAAAAGACAAAGAGTAAATATTCGCCTACTAATGTGGAGGCGTATGATCTTATTCACGTGAAAACGTCAGGAAGTCAATATTTGAAACAAGTAAAGGAAGATTTGTGGTTTGCCGCGAGGATTTAGCTTCTTTGAACATGAGTTTTGAGTTCACAAATCAAACAATTTCGGACGGCGTGCCATATTCTCTCCGTAAAAATTTTTAGGGAGACAGTTTCCAGCGACAGATAGGTCGACTGTTTTTACTATTACTGTGATAATATAACTGCTGCATCAATATTGCTGCTACTCGGTCATTTGTTGTAAGAAAACCTGTCTTGAGAAGAAGAAATATCAAAGACAGACGCTGCTGTAGAGCGAGAGACGGTTGTTAAGAGCAGCAAAAAGGACCAATAATCCCGGCCGATACCAAATCAGTCTGGCATTGTTAAACAGCACTTATCATCGATTAGATCTTCTATTGGGTAGGAATCAGCTGTAACTGTGATACATTATAACTTTATAAGAAGGTTTAGAATTAGTAGTCACTTGGCCTCGAGGGGTAAAAACATATCAGACGCAGCTGGAAACCAAGAAACGCTTGTTACTATGGTAACAGCGTGTGTTACAACAGAACAATGATCCCCCGGTGGCAGTCTGGTTATCCCTCGACTGTTAAACATAACACGATATAATCTCTAAAAGGTCGTAATAATAACGGAATTCAGCAGCAGGAGGGGGGTTACCTGGAGCTCTAAACGAACCCCCGCAAATATACAGACAAGCTGCTGAGAGAGAGAGAGGCCCTACAAGGACAGAACCAGCTCCGGAGACACCAGGTTGTAATTACAGGCAGAGAGAATTACAGGCAGGTTTTCAGGGACCCTCTCCTAAGACTCCACGTGTTTTAGAGGGTCCTCCGATGAGGGGCCGGTGGAATGTCGAGTATTCCCGGCACCGCCTTGCTAACGATACCTTATAATTCAGAAGGAATGACAGAACGGAGTGAATAATAATTTAAGGCTCTGCAAGGAGGGAGAGAAACGTACGCCGGAGTCTCAAAACAGTGCTGTATATAATGGGAGCTCACACTGCGTTTATCAGTAAACATATTGACTCGCGTCAACTGCAATCATCACACCTACTTAGCGGCGGTAACCATGGTAACAGTCAACTGGTGGTGACAGGTAATGTGTCCCCACCCTGTTTCCATGACAACACTGGATTACTCCTGATTTAGACGGGAGATTGGGCAGGCGTCTGACTGATATCTCAGATTCTCAGAGCAGGTACTCAGTTCTCAGGCCTGATAACCGGGGTGATCCTATCTTATCCCCCACACCTAGCATTAGGGCAATACTTCTGTCTCCCGGAACCCTGCAGTTGTGATCTCCCGTTACCCTGGTAATTGTGTGCAGGTTGCATGCACTTCATTTTCACCTCCGAGTGCGGTGTAAAATACCGGTTACCACGTGAGAAAAGAAAAGGGTGCAGCAAATATACCCTGTTTCCATGACAACACAAATATTGTGCTCATCTTCTTCTCAGATCTGATAATTTGTCCGATAATTCATTACTGATACGAATTAATGGCGAGTTGACGACGATTATCACATAAGACTATAATTTGCAAAGCTCCCGGTCTAATTGTTGTTGGAGCAATAGCAAGTTGTGTGGATGCATAAGGAGTTGATTCTGATCTTAGAAGAGCGTAATGGATATTCAATAAATTCGGATCGTCCCGACTCAGTATAATGATTCGGACTAATATAAAAACGGAGTAAAATGTAACGTTTAAAATATCAATGTTCCTCTGAAGAACATTTATTTGAAAAGATTCCACAACAAAAGATTCCACAATATGAATAGATGATGGAAAAAGTGGTCTCCCTTCTGTCGCCTTCAACCGCCGTTATATTCTGTGGAAATAACGTTTTAACCCAACTCTCCTCCAAGCTCTTTGAGATATATCAGGAAATCGGTATCCTCTCAGATAAATACGAGTAAGTCACGTATAGACATACTGATCAAGCAAACGAGATGTACTACCGTACACGACTAGAAGTAATATGTACTAGCGAAAAAAGAACGCGCCGTCATATTACACGCACGTGCTGCCCACGTGATCTTTTAAACTACTTAAACGTTTTAAATTTATGAAGGAGCAGTACTTAAACTGCTGGCAAGCTTAGCTTTAACAAGCAGGTAGTTGAAAACATACTTGAAAGCTCAAGTATGTCTGGTATTTAAAGTGTTTCTTCATATTTAATGGGACTGGCAGTGAGTTTAAGACGTACGTGTTCTAAAAAGGTCCTCCCACCAATTATAAATTTAACTGTTAAGCCAATAAACTATGTTAATTACTCTGATGGTGCTTCCAAAATTCGTCTACCCCAAACACGATAGGAAAGAATTATTCCAGCCTCAAGCTTTCGCAAATTTCAAAAATCTTTTACATATTTTAAAAACCTCCCACCTCGACCTCCCACCTCGACTGCTTCTCGCTGAGGTCTGACTGTTCCATGTTAAAACCACAATGAGCTGACTAATGGAAACGTAAGGGGCGGATGCCACCACATCACAGAGAATCGACCACGCAAAGAAACAAATACTGGGCTTCAGTTTTAAAACTGGCGAGTGGGCTGTCGTGAAATGAAGAGTGAATCTAGCACATAAAGAAATAAATACTGGACATGAGTTTTAAAACTGAGATTGTAGCTAAGTGGTATTACCGTTGTCGTGAAATGCAAAGTTTCAAGAATAGAGCAAACGGTGATGAAATGAGAAGTTTCAAAAATAGAGCAGACGGTGAAGTGAGAAGTTTTAGATATAGATCAGACGGTGAAATGAGAAGTTTCAAAAATAGAGCAGACGGTGAAATGATAAGTTTCAAAAATAGAGCAGACGGTGAAATGAGAAGTTTTAGAAGTTTAGATATAGAGCAGACGGTGAAATGAGAAGTTTTAGATATAGATCAGACGGTGAAATGAAAAGTTTTAGATATAGACTATAGAGCAGACGGCGAAATGAGAAGTTTCGAAAATAGAGCAGACGGTGAAATGAGAAGTTTTAGATATAGATCATCAGACTGCAGACGTTGTACTTCTCTTAAAACTTTAAAGAGCTCTTATGTGTTATGGCTTTATAGGTATTTTAATAGCCATTTTTCTGATCACCTTGGTCTAGAGCAAATTTTATTTTAAAATATGTCATTTTCTATTTTTTTTCCATTTTCAATAAAATATAGACTGACGGATTCTTTAATAACTTTATAAATAAAAACTTTTTCACAGCAATTTATAAAGCTTTTAATCTGTTTTGTTTCTGATTTTAGATCACAGAAAATAAGAAGTATTAATATCAAAATAAATTGGTCAGTCGATCTTGAAGAAAATATCTACATCTCAAGAAAAATACATTCTCCTTAAATATGTACATTTATTTAAAATTATTATAATCATATTACCCTCTCACTACTTTTCAACGCATAAGTTACCAATGCCACCCTAAGATAGTAAGATCAACTTGACCAAAAACTTCATTTTCATATTTAAGCTCTGTAAGTCTTAACTCTGAAAAGCGCTCTCGAGTATCACATAGTTTCTCTCAGCGTTACTCTTAACTCTGAAAAATGCTCTCGCAGTCATCACAGTATACTTCGAGAAAAAGGATCGTGTCTACTCAAGCCACTATCTCACTAGCGAGGCAGAACACAGGACCCCCTGCAACCGGGGAGACAGTGCACTCTACTGGTCCCTGCTCTCCTCCGCAAGAAGAGGACAAGTCTGACACACGTGCACAAACAAGTGCACAACCTCACTTCCGATACCCATGCTCAGTGCCAGCTCTTCCAGGTGCGCCGTCAGTGCGGTGCACAGCTCGCACGTGCAGTTGTCCGTGGTAACGCACGTCTCTTCTATCATGTCTGTTTGTGTGCCCATCTCGCGCATGTACCTGAAACGTGGATGTTGTGTTACTAGGGGTGGGGTCTGGCTTACACGCACGTTGTTGCCATAGTAATGCATATTGTCACCATGGTAACTGTTAGTGTTACCTTGGCAAGGTACGTCGACAATTGACATAGTAACACACGCGTAGGTTTCCATGGCTACGCAGGCTCACACGCTGTTACCATAGTAACACACGCTGTTACCATAGTAACACACGCTGTTACCATAGTAACACACGTTGTTACCATAGTAACACACGCTGTTACCATAGTAACACACGCTGTTACCATAGTAACACACGCTGTTACCATAGTAACACACGCTGTTACCATAGTAACACACGCTGTTACCAGCGTAACCAACATTAATTATTTTCCAGCTAACAAACATGGTTACCATGGTTACCATGGTAAACCACATTTGTGCCATTGTAAAAATAAGAATTTCAATCTTTTGTAAAACAGCTGCAGCTCGTTAACATTTGTATTATAAGATTCTGAGAGAGAATAGAAACGCAGCACAGTAACTCTGCAACAATTAGGAACCCGACAGCACATGACACATGACACTTATTTGGGTTTCAGATAGAAAGAATGAGTAGTTAATATAATGGCGAGGCTTATTATTGGCAGGTAGAAGCCGTAGAGGGGAGGGACATTTAAGAGTTAGCGAGCAGATTGCAGCACTATTAAAATGCAGGTGAGGCCGGCTTTCAACAACTACTTGAGTGTTGTATCGATTAAAGTAATGATTTAAGGAATTTTAGGTGGAATTTCAGGGGTACTCACTCCAGATCCACCAGGTTAGGAATGTACTGAAACTGTTCGTGCTGGATTACATCACACCCCGTGCCGATACCCACGGAGCTGCGAGTAGTTGCGGAGCTGCAGTGACAGGACGTGAAGACGTGGGACTGGTTCTCTTTAGCACCGGTGGTAGGTGGGGTGTCTTTAAACTGACGGATCTTATCCAGGATGTTGTCATGGTAACCGACTACTTCGGGTGCTGGGGTTGTCTCTTCTGAGTTGAAGGTTCCTACAATGTCTGCCACATACATTGGTGACAAGTAGGTAGGGGCGTCACCATAGTTACAGTCAATAGTCACCAAAGTGGGGCGTCTCTTCTTCGCTTGAGGAGGAGCACTTTGACCTCGCTTCTTACGGATCCTGTAGGTGACCACTATCAGGGACTCAGTGCTGGAGTAGAGGGATGTAGGGACGGAGGTTGATCTCTTCAGTTGGGGTGTGGTCCTCTCCTTCTTCCTGCCCCGGATCTTATTGAGCAGTCCCCCTAGTAGAGCAGGTTTACTGGTCGGCACAGTGGTGGTGTTACTGGAGGTGTTGCTGGAGGTGCGGGTCTCAGAGCAGACAGCAGAGGACACCACTCCAGCATCGTCTACCTGCGCTTCTGGTTCACCCCTTGTACACGGGTTCCAACCTAACAATGATCTACTCTTCTTTACTCGCGGAGGTGGGACAGGGGCGGAAGAGTGGCAGCAAGACTCCTCAGAACTCAGATCCACTGCTCGCTGCAGAGCTTGGCCAACCTCAGTTCCCAGTGGGAGTGCTTTCTGAGGGAGTATGGGTTTAAGCTTCTCCTCTGGGATATCGTACGTGATTATCGGTTTTCCGAAATCGTACACGGAACCATCAGGTCTCACGTGAGGACAGGAAAAGTTGTGTAAAATCGGTTTAACGGGTTTTTCGGATCCAGGAAGTGGAATTGGGTTTTCTTTTGTGTCGAGCAAGTCTCCGTCCTCGTTAACAGTGAGGGGTATGCCAGTGTCTGGGTGGTGTACTGTTCTGGGTTCTCCTTCGCTATCAAGCAATGGTTTCCCGTCCGGTCCGAGCACTAATCCATCAGGAGCTATGATAACGTCTCCCAAAGGTGTTTCACCTAGTTTCAATCCAGGAATCACATCTCCATTCTCATCTAGCATATTTTTATCATCGTTCACCGGGAGACTCCCATCAGGATTGAGTTTTATCTTGATGGGTTTCCCAGTCTCTGGATTAAGGAGTGGTAACTTATCAGGACCATGCATAGTTCCATCATCTGAGATGTATGGACAACCAATCCTAACTGAAGGACACTTTACAGGATTACCGTCTGGTCCCAATAAAAGGATCCCTTCATCATCCACCAACATACCCTCCTCATTTGGACCACTGGGGCACATATCTACTGGTACAAAGTTAGGATCTGGTCTGAGTCCCACAAGAACGGGGACCCCCTCCGGGGTGATAACTGGGAGACCCGACTCGGGGTCCAGCACACTCCCATCTGGTTCTATTTCTGGTAAAATATAGGTCACTAGAGGAGTAACAGGTATCTCCTCAACTGTTATAGGGAGTCCGTCCGCGTCCAGTAGCTCACCTATATCATTTACTTGGAGAGGTGTATCCCCACATGGACACAACGTCTTGACAGGTTCTCCTTCATTATTCCTTACAGGCTTCCCATCTGGTCCGATCACACCTCCATCAGGAGCTATAACCACAACACTTAATGGATCTTTCCCTGGTTTTATGGGGTTGGAGGGCCTCACAATTTTACCGTCCTCATCTAGAATATTCCCATTCTCGTCCAGGGGAATGCTTCCATCAGGGTTCAGTTTTATTCGGATGGGTTCCCCTTTTTCAGGGTCCCTTATGGGCTCTTTATCCGGCCCATGGAGAATACCAGCTGGGTCAATATAAGGTATGCACACATCCACCAGGCACTTGATGGGTTCACCGTCAGGTCCAATTAGCAGTTCCCCGTCAGGTCCTAGCAGATTCCCATTGTCATCTGGAGGGACTGGGACAAGTGGTGCCGGTTGTGAAGGCTTCAGACTCAGGATTATAGGCTTTCCATCAGGATTGAGCATAGGCTTGCCGTTTGGACTGTAAACCGCCCCATCCGGTCCAACAACTGGGCCTAAAGCGGGATGGAAGTTGGGTTTCTCGGAACCATCTGGACCGAGGTAAACTAGGGGATGGCCGTCAGGGTCAAGAAGACAGCCGCTATCATCTATCATTAAGGATCCGTCGGGGTTTAGTCCGACTTTAAGATGTCTTGGTTTTAGTGAAGGGTTTTTAATGGGTCTCACCAGTGAGGAGGATATTACAAATGACTCGATCGAGCTTATGGACTGACCATGTTTCAAAGTATCGTCCTTGTCATCAGAATCTGAGGAAGACATTTCAAGTGACGGTTGTCCTCCAAAGCATGATGTTGGTCGTCCACTTTTAGGTTTTGGTTCTTCTTCAGAGATATCCGGTTTCCCCAACCCGCAGAGACTGAAGGGTCGTTTCTTTTTATCACCGTGGACTCGGACTGCCTTGGGGTGTATTTCAAGTGGCGTTTTCAGAACATGAGATGTTTTCTTTTCTTTATCTTTTGAGGAGGATTTTCGAGGGCTTTTAAGGGATGAATCGGTGTCTATTAATGATGGTATTCTAATCGAAGTTTCGAGTTTCAATGATGATTTTGGTGACTCCTTGGATGTTGTTTTCTTTGAATGAGTTTCTGCTTCTCTGCCTGATTCGGACTTTTCTGTCAATGGTGAAGATAATTTGAGATCATGGTCAATTTCAATTTCAGGAGTTGCTTCCACTTGTTCCACTACATCATCAACAATTGACGGAATTTCTGCGTAAGTTGGCTCAACCTGACACACTGGAACGGAATCACTAACCGGAGCAGACTCTACATCAGCTACAGACTCCACATGTACAGTCTCCACAGGTACAGTCTCCAGAGGTACATCATATAATGGATCTTCTTTCTCACTTTCAGGATCTGTCAGAGGTATGTGAATAACTTGAGGTGATCTCGGTGGTTTCGAGGGGGGTGACAGTGAAGGTGCTCGATCTGAAACTGGTGAAGTTGGAGGATATTTCTTGCCAAATGGAGGACACATTGGCATCTTTGAGGGTTTGCTCTTCTTTTCCAAACTGGATTTGCTGCTCTTTTTTGAGGGGATAGTTATAGAGTCTTTGCTTACTCGAATACTTGGCTTTGAAGAGCTGTCGACTGTCACTCCTACACAGCTGGTATTATCAGTTGGCAGAGATTCTGGTTCGTCCTGCATATCAACACTCTTTGTATCAGGTCCTTTACAAATGTTATTGAAGATATTCGGGAAGAATGATCCTTTCTTTCCCACAATGGAACTCTTGTAACTACCATCAGATTTACCTTCTGATGTGTCATTAAAAGTAGCTGATTTAGCATCTGTAGAGGATGAAGAAGAGGATGAAGAAGAAGATGTGGAACTTTTGTCAGATTGCACTACTTCATCCTTAAGCGCCTGGTTATATGACAGTCGGTTTAACTTGCACGTCTCTGGACCTGGTGACTCTCTATCAGACTTGGTAAACTTAATGTTTTCTGAAGGTAGTTTATCTGAAACAGCTGGGTGGTTCAAACTTGTTTCCATTTCTATCTTCTCCGATTTCTCTGATTTGTCTCCCGAGGAGGTGATGTTGAAATCTTTTGAGGTAAAAGAGCTTGCATCGCTGCGTTTATCATCATCTAGATTGTAGATATGAGTGTGAGAATCCGTGTCCAGTCTCGACAGATCAAAGGGATCGTTGGAGTCGATCAGAGCCTCCAATTCATCGTTACCAATCGGAGTAAACTTCTTAGAAACCTTACTCTTTTCTTGGACGCAATTGCTTTTCAGTGAGATGTTATCCAGCTCTGGGGGTTTTGTTCCTTCCGGGTACACATACGTTGTTTTCTTGGTGTACTCCTTGACTTCGGTGGTGACACAGATTCCATTGTGTTTGGTTGTGTAGTACCTGGTTCTTTTCAGTGTAGTTACTGTGGGAGTGAGCTTGTTCCGCTCTGCCGCCCGGAAATCTCTCTCTGCATTTTCCGTTCTACACAAAATGGGAAGAGTTAAGATATTTCTGGATTAACCGGGTCAAATAATTGGCAGTAATCTTAATATGATCTTTATTATGAACCTATTTCTATAAACCTTTTAATTTTATCACGTTTGTGACATGATAATTGTAATATGATGGCTAACATAATATGATTGTGAATGACATTGAGGTGAAAGACAATAGCACATTATGAAAAGCGAAAACATTGACGATAAAGGCACAGCACAGATCTCCAAAGTACAGCAGCTCTGAAAATATAGCCATTTCCTGAAAAAATGCAGATAAGCTTGATTTCAGAGTAAAATCAGTATCAAAATTCGAGAATTATGTTCACATTAATCAGCGATACGTAGCAACACAATCAAAGCAAATTTAAAATACATTTTTATAAAATGATTCTTTATGCAGCAAATTAAACAAGCAAAATTTCAGCAAAAATGAAACTTACCAAGTTTCAGGCTCTTCTTCAGTAGCAACATTCTTCACACTCAAGTCACCGACCAAATGTCGAGGAACTTCTATAACAACACACTGCTCCACCTCCAGAACTTCTTGCTCCGTCAACATGGGAGCGCTAAAACTCTCACTGAAATCGGACACATCTGTACTTGCTTCCTCCGCGGTGGAGTTCTGTGCTCGATTTGGAATGACAGTCTCGTAAATCTCTAAAAATATGCACGGTTTATTTTCTAGTTCTGGTGGAATGTCCTCTTCTATCAATAAAGGACGCCACATCTTTCCATCCTTGTCTTCGGGATGATTTCCTTTAATTTCATTTACATCTGGAGTTCCGTTATTAAAACGGTTTGGAATTCTTTGGTCTAATAAGGGAGAACAAGTACTGCTCAAGTTGTCAGCTCCATCAGGATAAGGAGTGAACCTCAATAATGTCACCAGTACATCAAGGGGAACATCAACAACATGATCCATGAAACTGTCATCGATAAATTGTACAAAGAATGGAATCAGAACAGTGAGATCGTGGTCTGAAGTGAAGTCCTCAAAAGTCAATCCCAGACCTGATATTGGAAGGAATTTCTCAGAAGCTATTAGACTTGCTGATATTTTCTCTTCTGGAGGAAGATCAGAGACTGCGTTAAGAAACTGGGGTATGTGAATATTCACCAGGATTGAAAGGATCACACCATCATTAATGTCGGTGGTGAGGTTTGTCAGTATCGGACCGTAATCAGATATTAAAACGTTGATCTGAGCAATATTGATTTCGAGTTGATCTTCGGTATCATATTTGTCAAAATCTATTTTGACAAGGGATTGCGTAGACCGTGATCCAGCAATAAAAATGGAGCTGTCGCTTTCCAGTGATATGTCAATGAAGGAAGTATCCGGATCCAGATATTCCGAATCCGGCTTACCAGAAGAATGCTTGCTGCTTGGTTTGGATTTGGTTGATGCCGGCTTCTTGTCGTCAGCTGAACTTGGTGAGCTGCTAGAAGTACTGTCATCAGATGTCTTCGGCTGATCCTTGTAAGCAATGTCAGCAGGTTTAGAGGAGCTGGTATCATCACTAGAAGAATGCTTGCTGCTTGGTTTGGATTTGGTTGATGCCGGCTTCTTGTCGTCAGATGAACTTGGTGAGCTGCTAGAAGTACTGTCATCAGATGTCTTCGGCTGATCCTTGCGACCTATGTCAGCAGGTTTTGCGGAGCTGGTATCATCACTAGAATAATGCTTGCTGCTTGGTTTGGATTTGGTTGATGCCGGCTTCTTGTCGTCAGATGAACTTGGTGAGCTGCTACAAGTACTGTCATCAGATGTCTTCGGCTGATCCTTGCGACCAATGTCAGCAGGTTTTGCGGAGCTGGTATCATCACTAGAAGAATGCTTGCTGCTTGGTTTGGATTTGGTTGATGCCGGCTTCTTGTCGTCAGATGAACTTGGTGAGCTGCTACAAGTACTGTCATCAGATGTCTTCGGCTGATCCTTGTGACCAATGTCAGCAGGTTTTGCGGAGCTGGTATCATCACTAGAAGAATGCTTGCTGCTTGGTTTGGATTTGGTTGATGCCAGCTTCTTCTCGTCAGATGAACAGGGTGAACTGTTAGAAGTACTGTCGTTAGATGTCTTCGGCTGATCCTTGCGACCAATGTCAGCAGGTTTAAAGGAGCTGGTATCATCACCGGATGAATGCTTGCTGCTTGGTTTGGATTTGGTTGATGCTGGCTTCTTGTCGTCAGATGAACTTGGTGAGCTGCTAGAAGTACTGTCATCAGATGTCTTCGGCTGATCCTTGCGACCAATGTCAGCAGGTTTCGAGGAGCTGGTATCATCACTAGAAGAATGCTTGCTGCTGGGTTCAGGTTTGGTTAATGCAGGCTTCTTGTCGTCAGATGAACTTGGTGAGCTAATAGAATTACTGTTGTCAGATGTCTTCGGCTGATCATTCCGACCAATGTCAGCAGGTTTGAAGGAGCTGATATCATCTGACTTAGATCTGGACGGTGATCGACATCTGTCAACCTTCACTTCTGCTTCTTTTATATCTCGTTTTGAAGATGAATCATCTTCCTTGGAATCCGATTCAGGTTTCTTTGACAACGACAAATCAAAGGTGACTTCCTTATCAGATTCAGACTTTTTCGAGCTAGCTGGACTTCGGCTTACCGGTTTTGATCCTGGCTTTTGATCTTGGGCTGACGCACTTGAAGACGATGGGGAGCTGGAACTCTTATCTTCAAACGAATCCGGCTTACCACAAGAATGGTTGCTGCTTGGTTTGGATTTGGTTGGTGCAAGCTTCTTGTCGTCAGATGAAATGGATGAGCTGCTAGAAGTACTGTCGTCAGATGTCTTCAACTGATCCTTGCGACCAATGTCAGCAGGTTTGGAGGAGCTGTTATCATCTGACTTAGATCTGGAGGGTGATCGAGATCTGTCAACTTTCACTTCCTCTTCTTTTATATCTCGTTCTGAGGATGATTCATCTTCCTTGGAATCCGATTCAGGTTTCTTTGACAACGACAAATCAAGAGTGACTTCCTTATCGGATTCAGACTTTTTCGAGCTACCTGGACTTCGGCTTACCGGTTTTGATCCTGGCTTTTGATCTTGGGCTAACGCACTTGAACACGATGGGGAGCTGGAACTCTTATTTTCGACCGAATCCAGCTTACCAGAAGAATTCTTGCTGCTTGATTTGGATTTGGTTGAAGCGGGCTTCTTGTCGTCAGATGAACTGGGTGAGCTGCTAGAAGTACTGTCATCAGATGTCTTTGGCTGATCCTTGTGACCAATGTCAGCAGGTTTCGAGGAGCTGGTATCATCACTAGAAGAATGCTTGCTGCTTGGTTTGGATTTGGTTGATGCTGGCTTCTTTTCGTCAGATGAACTTGGTGAGCTGCTAGAAGTACTGTCATCAGATGTCTTCGGCTGATCCTTGCGACCAATGTCAGCAGGTTTCGAGGAGCTGGTATCATCACTAGAAGAATGCTTGCTGCTGGGTTCAGGTTTGGTTAATGCAGGCTTCTTGTCGTCAGATGAACTTGGTGAGCTAATAGAATTACTGTTGTCAGATGTCTTCGGCTGATCATTCCGACCAATGTCAGCAGGTTTGAAGGAGCTGATATCATCTGACTTAGATCTGGACGGTGATCGACATCTGTCAACCTTCACTTCTGCTTCTTTTATATCTCGTTTTGAAGATGAATCATCTTCCTTGGAATCCGATTCAGGTTTCTTTGACAACGACAAATCAAAGGTGACTTCCTTATCAGATTCAGACTTTTTCGAGCTAGCTGGACTTCGGCTTACCGGTTTTGATCCTGGCTTTTGATCTTGGGCTGACGCACTTGAAGACGATGGGGAGCTGGAACTCTTATCTTCAAACGAATCCGGCTTACCACAAGAATGGTTGCTGCTGGGTTTGGTTGAAGTGGGCTTCTTGTCGTCAGATAAACTGGATGAGCTAATAGAAGTACTGTTGTCAGATGTCTTCGGCTGATCCTTGCGACCAATGTCAGCAGGTTTAGAGGAGCTGGTATCATCACCGGATGAATGCTTGCTGCTTGGTTTGGATTTGGTTGAAGCGGGCTTCTTGTCGTCAGATGAAACGGGTGAGCTGCTAGAAGTACTGTCATCAGATGTCTTCGGTTGATCCTTGCGACCAATATCAGCAGGTTTGGAGGAGCTGATATCATTTGACTTAGATCTGGACGGTGATCGAGATCTGGCAACCTTCACTTCTGCTTCTTTTATGTCTCGTTCTGAAAATGAATCCTCTTCCTTGGAATCCGATTCAGGTTTCTTTGACAACGACAAATCAAAAGTGACTTCCTTATCGGATTCAGACTTTTTCGAGCTACCTGGACTTCGGCTTACCGGTTTTGATCCTGGCTTTTGATCTTGGGCTGACGCACTTGAAGACGATGAGGAGCTGGAACTCTTATCTTCAACCGAATCCGGCTTACCACAAGAATGGTTGCTGCTTGGTTTGGATTTGGTTGAAGTGGGCTTCTTGTCGTCAGATAAACTGGATGAGCTAATAGAAGTACTGTTGTCAGATGTCTTCGGCTGATCCTTGCGACCAATGTCAGCAGGTTTAGAGGAGCTGGTATCATCACCGGATGAATGCTTGCTGCTTGGTTTGGATTTGGTTGAAGCGGGCTTCTTGTCGTCAGATGAAACGGGTGAGCTGCTAGAAGTACTGTCATCAGATGTCTTCGGTTGATCCTTGCGACCAATATCAGCAGGTTTGGAGGAGCTGATATCATTTGACTTAGATCTGGACGGTGATCGAGATCTGGCAACCTTCACTTCTGCTTCTTTTATGTCTCGTTCTGAAAATGAATCCTCTTCCTTGGAATCCGATTCAGGTTTCTTTGACAACGACAAATCAAAAGTGACTTCCTTATCGGATTCAGACTTTTTCGAGCTACCTGGACTTCGGCTTACCGGTTTTGATCCTGGCTTTTGATCTTGGGCTAACGCACTTGAAGACGATGGGGAGCTGGAACTCTCATCTTCGACCGAATCCAGCTTACCAGATGAATTCTTGCTGCTTGATTTGGATTTGGTTGAAGCGGGCTTCTTGTTGTCAGATGAACTGGGTGAACTGTTAGAAGTACTGTCGTTAGATGTCTTCGGCTGATCCTTGCGACCAATGTCAGCAGGTTTAGAGGAGCTGGTATCATCACTAGAATAATGCTTGCTGCTTGGTTTAGATTTGGTTGTTACCGGCTTCTTGTCGTCAGATGAAATTGGTGAGCTGCTAGAAGTACTGTCATCAGATGTCTTTGGCTGATCCTTGTGACCAATGTCAGCAGGCTTCGAGGAGCTGGTATCATCACTAGAAGAATGCTTGCTGCTGGGTTTAGGTTTGGTTGATGCAGGCTTCTTGTCGTCAGATGAACTTGGTGAGCTGCTAGAAGTACTGTCGTCAGATGTCTTCGGCTGATCATTGCGACCAATGTCAGCAGGTTTGGAGGAGCTGATATCATCTGACTTAGATCTGGACGGTGATCGACATCTGTCAACCTTCACTTCTGCTTCTTTTATATCTCGTTCTGAAGATGAATCATCTTCCTTGGAATCCGATTCAGGTTTCTTTGACAACGACAAATCAAGGGTGACTTCCTTATCAGATTCAGACTTTTTCGAGCTACCTGGACTTCGGCTTACCGGTTTTGATCCTGGCTTTTGATCTTGGGCTGACGCACTTGAAGACGATGGGGAGCTGGAACTCTTATCTTCAACCGAATCCGGCTTACCACAAGAATGGTTGCTGCTTGGTTTTGATTTAATTGACGCGGGCTTCTTGTCGTCAGATGAACTGGGTGAACTGTTAGAAGTACTGTCGTTAGATGTCTTCGGCTGATCCTTGCGACCAATGTCAGCAGGTTTAGAGGAGCTGGTATCATCACTAAAAGAATGGTTGCTGCTTGGTTTAGATTTGGTTGTTGCAGGCTTCTTGTCGTCAGATGAACTTGGTGAGCTGCTAGAAGTACTGTCATCAGATGTCTTCGGCTGATCCTTGTGACCAATGTCAGCAGGCTTCGAGGAGCTGGTATCATCACTAAAAGAATGGTTGCTGCTTGGTTTAGATTTGGTTGTTGCCGGCTTCTTGTCGTCAGCTGAACTTGGTGAGCTGCTAGAAGTACTGTCATCAGATGTCTTTGGCTGATTCTTGTGACCAATGTCAGCAGGCTTCGAGGAGCTGGTATCATCACTAGAAGAATTCTTGCTGCTTGATTTGTATTTGGTTGAAGCGGGCTTCTTGTCGTCAGATGAACTTGGTGAGCTGCTAGAAGTACTGTCATCAGATGTCTTCGGCTGATCCTTGCGACAAATGTCAGCAGGTTTCGAGGAGCTGGTATCATCATTAGAAAAATGCTTGCTGCTGGGTTTAGGTTTGGTTGATGCAGGCTTCTTGTCGTCAGATGAACTTGTTGAGCTGCTAGAAATACTGTCATCAGATGTTTTCGGCTGATCCTTGCGACCAATGTCAGCAGGTTTAGAGGAGCTGGTATCATCACCGGATGAATGCTTGCTGCTTGGTTTGGATAAGGTTGAAGCGGGCTTCTTGTCGTCAGATGAAACGGGTGAGCTGCTAGAAGTACTGTCATCAGATGTCTTCGGCTGATCCTTGCAACCAATATCAGCAGGTTTGGAGGAACTGATATCATTTGACTTAGATCTGGACGGTGATCGACATCTGGCAACCTTCACTTCTGCTTCTTTTATATCTCGTTCTGAAAATGAATCCTCTTCCTTGGAATCCGATTCAGGTTTCTTTGACAACGACAAATCAAGAGTGACTTCCTTATCGGATTCAGACTTTTTCGAGCTACCTTGACTTTGGCTAACCGGTTTTGATCCTGGCTTTTGATATTGGGCTGACAAACTTGAAGACGATGGGGAGCTGGAACTCTCATCTTCGACCGAATCCAGCTTACCAGAAGAATTCTTGCTGCTTGATTTGGATTTTGTTGAAGCGGGCTTCTTGTCGTCAGATGAACAGGGTAAACTGTTAGAAGTACTGTCGTTAGATGTCTTCGTCTGATCCTTGCGACCAATGTCAGCAGGTTTAGAGTAGCTGGTATCATCACTAGAAGAATGCTTGCTGCTTGGTTTAGATTTGGTTTTTGCCGGCTTCTTGTTGTCAGATGAACTTAGTGAGCTGCTAGAAGTACTGTCATCAGATGTCTTCGGCTGATCCTTGTGACCAATGTCAGCAGGTTTAGAGGAGCTGGTATCATCACTAGAAGAATGCTTGCTGCTTGGTTTGGATTTGGTTGATGCCGGCTTCTTGTCGTCAGATGAACTTGGTGAGCTGCTAGAAGTACTGTCATCAGATGTCTTCGGCTGATCCTTGTAAGCAATGTCAGCAGGCTTCGAGGAGCTGGTATCATCACTAGAAGAATGCTTGCTGCTGGGTTTAGGTTTGGTTGATGCCGGCTTCTTGTCGTCAGATGAACTTGGTGAGCTGCTAGAAGTACTGTCATCAGATGTCTTTGGCTGATCCTTGTGACCAATGTCAGCTGGTTTCGAGGAGCTGGTATCATCACTAGAAGAATGCTTGCTGCTTGGTTTGGATTTGGTTGATGCAGGCTTCTTGTCGTCAGATGAACTTGGTGAGCTGCTAGAAGTACTGTCATCAGATGTCTTTGGCTGATCCTTGTGACCAATGTCAGCAGGTTTAGAGTAGCTGGTATCATCACTAGAAGAATGCTTGCTGCTTGGTTTGGATTTGGTTGATGCCGGCTTCTTGTCGTCAGATGAACTTGGTGAGCTGCTAGAAGTACTGTCATCAGATGTCTTCGGCTGATCCTTGCGACCAATGTCAGCAGGTTTGGAGGAGCTGATATCATCTGACTTAGATCTGGACGGTGATCGACATCTGTCAACCTTCACTTCTGCTTCTTTTATATCTCGTTCTGAAGATGAATCATCTTCCTTGGAATCCGATTCAGGTTTCTTTGACAACGACAAATCAAGGGTGACTTCCTTATCAGATTCAGACTTTTTCGAGCTACCTGGACTTCGGCTTACCGGTTTTGATTCTGGCTTTTGATCTTGGGCTGACGCACTTGAAGACGATGGGGACCTGGAACTCTTATCTTCAACCGAATCCGGCTTACCACAAGAATGGTTGCTGCTTGGTTTGGATTTGGTTGAAGTGGGCTTCTTGTTGTCAGATGAACTTGGTGAGCTGCTAGAAGTACTGTCATCAGATGTCTTTGGCTGATCCTTGTGACCAATGTCAGCAGGTTTCGAGGAGCTGGTATCATCACTAGAAGAATGCTTGCTGCTTGGTTTAGATTTGGTTGATGCCGGCTTCTTGTCATCAGATGAACTTGGTGAGCTGCTAGAAGTACTGTCATCAGATGTCTTTGGCTGATCCTTGTGACCAATGTCAGCAGGTTTCGAGGAGCTGGTATCATCATTAGAAGAATGCTTGCTGCTTGGTTTAGATTTGGTTGATGCCGGCTTCTTGTCGTCAGATGAACTTGGTGAGCTGCTAGAAGTACTGTCATCAGATGTCTTCGGCTGATCCTTGCGACCAATGTCAGCAGGTTTGGAGGAGCTGATATCATCTGACTTAGATCTGGACGGTGATCGACATCTGTCAACCTTCACTTCTGCTTCTTTTATATCTCGTTCTGAAGATGAATCATCTTCCTTGGAATCCGATTCAGGTTTCTTTGACAACGACAAATCAAGGGTGACTTCCTTATCAGATTCAGACTTTTTCGAGCTACCTGGACTTCGGCTTACCGGTTTTGATTCTGGCTTTTGATCTTGGGCTGACGCACTTGAAGACGATGGGGACCTGGAACTCTTATCTTCAACCGAATCCGGCTTACCACAAGAATGGTTGCTGCTTGGTTTGGATTTGGTTGAAGTGGGCTTCTTGTTGTCAGATGAACTTGGTGAGCTGCTAGAAGTACTGTCATCAGATGTCTTCGGCTGACCCTTGCGACCAATGTCAGCAGGTTTTGAGGAGCTGGTATCATCACTAGAAGAATGCTTGCTGCTGGGTTTAGGTTTGGTTGATGCAGGCTTCTTGTCGTCATATGAACTTGGTGAGCTGCTAGAAGTACTGTCATCAGATGTCTTCGGCTGATCATTGCGACCAATGCCAGCAGGTTTGGAGGAGCTGATATCATCTGACTTAGATCTGGACGGTGATCGACATCTGTCAACCTTCACTTCTGCTTCTTTTATATCTCGTTCTGAAGATGAATCATCTTCCTTGGAATCCGATTCAGGTTTCTTTGACAACGACAAATCAAGGGTGACTTCCTTATCAGATTCAGACTTTTTCGAGCTACCTGGACTTCGGCTTACCGGTTTTGATTCTGGCTTTTGATCTTGGGCTGACGCACTTGAAGACGATGGGGACCTGGAACTCTTATCTTCAACCGAATCCGGCTTACCACAAGAATGGTTGCTGCTTGGTTTGGATTTGGTTGAAGTGGGCTTCTTGTTGTCAGATGAACTTGGTGAGCTGCTAGAAGTACTGTCATCAGATGTCTTCGGCTGACCCTTGCGACCAATGTCAGCAGGTTTTGAGGAGCTGGTATCATCACTAGAAGAATGCTTGCTGCTGGGTTTAGGTTTGGTTGATGCAGGCTTCTTGTCGTCATATGAACTTGGTGAGCTGCTAGAAGTACTGTCATCAGATGTCTTCGGCTGATCATTGCGACCAATGTCAGCAGGTTTGGAGGAGCTGATATCATCTGACTTAGATCTGGAGGGTGATCGACATCTGTCAACCTTCACTTCTGCTTTTTTTATATCTCGTTCTGAAGATGAATCATCTTCCTTGGAATCCGATTCAGGTTTCTTTGACAACGACAAATCAAGGGTGACTTCCTTATCAGATTCAGACTTTTTCGAGCTACCTGGACTTTGGCTAACCGGTTTTGATCCTGGCTTTCGATATTGGGCTAACACACTTGAAGACGATGGGGAGCTGGAACTCTCATCTTCGACCGAATCCAGCTTACCAGAAGAATTCTTGCTGCTTGATTTGGATTTTGTTGAAGCGGGCTTCTTGTCGTCAGATGAACAGGGTGAACTGTTAAAAGTACTGTCGTTAGATGTCTTCGGCTGATCCTTGCGAGCAATGTCAGCAGGTTTAGAGTAGCTGGTATCATCACTAGAAGAATGCTTGCTTCTTGGTTTTGATTTGGTTGTTGCCGGCTTCTTGTCGTCAGATGAACTTGGTGAGCTGCTAGAAGTACTGTCATCAGATGTCTTCGGCAGATCCTTGCGAGCAATGTCAGCAGGTTTCGAGGAGCTGGTATCATCACTAGAAGAATGCTTGCTGCTTGGTTTTGATTTGGTTTTTGCCGGCTTCTTGTCGTCAGATGAACTTGGTGAGCTGCTAGAAGTACTGTCATCAGATGTCTTCGGCAGATCCTTGCGAGCAATGTCAGCAGGTTTCGAGGAGCTGGTATCATCACTAGAAGAATGCTTGCTGCTTGGTTTAGATTTGGTTGTTGCCGGCTTCTTGTCGTCAGATGAACTTGGTGAGCTGCTAGAAGTACTGTCATCAGATGTCTTCGGCTGATCCTTGTGACCAATGTCAGCAGGTTTCGAGGAGCTGGTATCATCACTAGAAGAATGCTTGCTGCTTGGTTTTGATTTGGTTGATGCAGGCTTCTTGTCGTCAGATGAACTTGGTGAGCTGCTAGAAGTACTGTCATCAGATGTCTTCGGCTGATCCTTGCGAGCAATGTCAGCAGGTTTAGAGGAGCTGGTATCATCACTAGAAGAATGCTTGCTGCTTGGTTTAGATTTGGTTGTTGTCGGCTTCTTGTCGTCAGATGAACTTGGTGAGCTGCTAGAAGTACTGCCATCAGATGTCTTTGGCTGATCCTTGTGACCAATGTCAGCAGGTTTAGAGGAGCTGGTATCATCACTAGAAGAATGCTTGCTGCTTGGTTTAGATTTGGTTGATGCCGGCTTCTTGTCGTCATATGAACTTGGTGAGCTGCTAGAAGTACTTTTATCAGATGTCTTCGGCTGATCCTTGCAAGCAATGTCAGCAGTTTTAGAAGAGCTGGTATCATCACTAGAAGAATGCTTGCTGCTTGGTTTGGATTTGGTTGATGCCGGCTTCTTGTCGTCATATGAACTTGGTGAGCTAATACAAGTACTGTCATCAGATGTCTTCGGCTGATCCTTGCGACCTATGTCAGCAGGTTTTGCGGAGCTGGTATCATCACTAGAAGAATGCTTGCTGGTTGGTTTGGATTTGGTTGATGCCGGCTTCTTGTCGTCATATGAACTTGGTGAGCTGCTAGAAGTACTTTTATCAGATGTCTTCGGCTGATCCTTGCAAGCAATGTCAGCAGTTTTAGAAGAGCTGGTATCATCACTAGAAGAATGCTTGCTGCTTGGTTTGGATTTGGTTGATGCCGGCTTCTTGTCGTCAGATGAACTTGGTGAGCTAATACAAGTACTGTCATCAGATGTCTTTGGCTGATCCTTGTGACCAATGTCAGCAGGTTTCGAGGAGCTGGTATCATCACTAGAAGAATGCTTGCTGCTTGGTTTGGATTTGGTTGATGCCAGCTTCTTCTCGTCAGATGAACAGGGTGAACTGTTAGAAGTACTGTCGTTAGATGTCTTCAGCTGATCCTTGTGCCCAATGTCAGCAGGTTTCGAGGAGCTGGTATCATCACAAAAAGAATGCTTGCTGCTTGGTTTGGATTTGGTTGATGCTGGCTTCTTGTCGTCAGATGAACTTAGTGAGTTGCTAGAAGTACTGTCATCAGATGTCTTTTGCTGATCCTTGCGACCAATGTCAGCAGGTTTCGAGGAGCTGGTATCATCACTAAAAGAATGCTTGCTGCTTGGTTTGGATTTGGTTGATGCTGGCTTCTTGTCGTCAGATGAACTTGGTGAGCTGCTAGAAGTACTGTCATCAGATGTCTTCGGCTGATCCTTGCGACCAATGTCAGCAGGTTTCGAGGAGCTGGTATCATCACTAGAAGAATGCTTGCTGCTGGGTTCAGGTTTGGTTAATGCAGGCTTCTTGTCGTCAGTTGAACTTGGTGAGCTAATAGAATTACTGTTGTCAGATGTCTTCGGCTGATCATTCCGACCAATGTCAGCAGGTTTGGAGGAGCTGATATCATCTGACTTAGATCTGGACGGTGATCGACATCTGTAAACCTTCACTTCTGCTTCTTTTATATCTCGTTCTGAAGATGAATCATCTTCCTTGGAATCCGATTCAGGTTTCTTTGACAACGACAAATCAAGGGTGACTTCCTTATCAGATTCAGACTTTTTCGAGCTACCTGGACTTCGGCTTACCGGTTTTGATCCTGGCTTTTGATCTTGGGCTGACGCACTTGAAGACGATGGGGAGCTGAAACTCTTATCTTCAACCGAATCCGGCTTACCACAAGAATGGTTGCTGCTTGGTTTGGATTTGGTTGGTGCAAGCTTCTTGTCGTCAGATGAAATGGATGAGCTGCTAGAAGTACTGTCGTCAGATGTCTTCAACTGATCCTTGCGACCAATGTCAGCAGGTTTGGAGGAGCTGTTATCATCTGACTTAGATCTGGAGTGTGATCGAGATCTGTCAACTTTCACTTCTTCTTCTTTTATATCTCGTTCTGAGGATGATTCATCTTCCTTGGAATCCGATTCAGGTTTCTTTGACAACGACAAATCAAGAGTGACTTCCTTATCAGATTCAGACTTTTTCGAGCTACCTGGACTTCGGCTTACCGGTTTTGATCCTGGCTTTTGATCTTGGGCTAACGCACTTGAAGACGATGGGGAGCTGGAACTCTCATTTTCGACCGAATCCAGCTTACCAGAAGAATTCTTGCTGCTTGATTTGGATTTGGTTGAAGCGGGCTTCTTGTCGTCAGATGAACTGGGTGAACTGTTAGAAGTACTGTCGTTAGATGTCTTCGGCTGATCCTTGCGACCAATGTCAGCAGGTTTATAGGAGCTGGTATCATCACCGGATGAATGCTTGCTGCTTGGTTTGGATTTGGTTGAAGCGGGCTTCATGTCGTCAGATGAAATGGGTGAGCTGCTAGAAGTACTGTCATCAGATGTCTTCGGCTGATCCTTGCGACCAATGTCAGCAGGTTTAGAGGAGCTGGTATCATCACCGGATGAATGCTTGCTGCTTGGTTTAGATTTGGTTGTTGCCAGCTTCTTGTCGTCAGATGAACTTGGTGAGCTGCTAGAAGTACTGTCAACAGATGTCTTTGGCTGATCCTTGTGACCAATGTCAGCAGGTTTCGAGGAGCTGGTATCATCACTAGAAGAATGCTTGCTGCTTGGTTTGGATTTGGTTGATGCCGGCTTCTTGTCGTCAGATGAACTTGGTGAGCTGCTAGAAGTACTGTCATCAGATGTCTTTGGCTGATCCTTGTGACCAATGTCAGCAGGTTTCGAGGAGCTGGTATCATCACTAGAAGAATGCTTGCTGCTTGGTTTGGATTTGGTTGATGCAGGCTTCTTCTCGTCAGATGAACAGGGTGAACTGTTAGAAGTACTGTCGTTAGATGTCTTCGGCTGATCCTTGTGCCCAATGTCAGCAGGTTTCGAGGAGCTGGTATCATCACTAAAAGAATGCTTGCTGCTTGGTTTGGATTTGGTTGATGCTGGCTTCTTGTCGTCAGATGAACTTGGTGAGCTGCTAGAAGTACTGTCATCAGATGTCTTCGGCTGATCCTTGCGACCAATGTCAGCAGGTTTCGAGGAGCTGGTATCATCACTAGAAGAATGCTTGCTGCTGGGTTCAGTTTTGGTTAATGCAGGCTTCTTGTCGTCAGTTGAACTTGGTGAGCTAATAGAATTACTGTTGTCAGATGTCTTCGGCTGATCATTCCGACCAATGTCAGCAGGTTTGGAGGAGCTGATATCATCTGACTTAGATCTGGACGGTGATCGACATCTGTAAACCTTCACTTCTGCTTCTTTTATATCTCGTTCTGAAGATGAATCATCTTCCTTGGAATCCGATTCAGGTTTCTTTGACAACGACAAATCAAGGGTGACTTCCTTATCAGATTCAAACTTTTTCGAGCTACCTGGACTTCGGCTTACCGGTTTTGATCCTGGCTTTTGATCTTGGGCTGACGCACTTGAAGACGATGGGGAGCTGGAACTCTTATCTTCAACCGAATCCGGCTTACCACAAGAATGGTTGCTGCTTGGTTTGGATTTGGTTGGTGCAAGCTTCTTGTCGTCAGATGAAATGGATGAGCTGCTAGAAGTACTGTCGTCAGATGTCTTCAACTGATCCTTGCGACCAATGTCAGCAGGTTTGGAGGAGCTGTTATCATCTGACTTAGATCTGGAGTGTGATCGAGATCTGTCAACTTTCACTTCTTCTTCTTTTATATCTCGTTCTGAGGATGATTCATCTTCCTTGGAATCCGATTCAGGTTTCTTTGACAACGACAAATCAAGAGTGACTTCCTTATCAGATTCAGACTTTTTCGAGCTACCTGGACTTCGGCTTACCGGTTTTGATCCTGGCTTTTGATCTTGGGCTAACGCACTTAAAGACGATGGGGAGCTGGAACTCTTATTTTCGACCGAATCCAGCTTACCAGAAGAATTCTTGCTGCTTGATTTGGATTTGGTTGAAGCGGGCTTCTTGTCGTCAGATGAACTGGGTGAACTGTTAGAAGTACTGTCGTTAGATGTCTTCGGCTGATCCTTGCGACCAATGTCAGCAGGTTTATAGGAGCTGGTATCATCACCGGATGAATGCTTGCTGCTTGGTTTGGATTTGGTTGAAGCGGGCTTCATGTCGTCAGATGAAATGGGTGAGCTGCTAGAAGTACTGTCATCAGATGTCTTCGGCTGATCCTTGCGACCAATGTCAGCAGGTTTAGAGGAGCTGGTATCATCACCGGATGAATGCTTGCTGCTTGGTTTAGATTTGGTTGTTGCCAGCTTCTTGTCGTCAGATGAACTTGGTGAGCTGCTAGAAGTACTGTCAACAGATGTCTTTGGCTGATCCTTGTGACCAATGTCAGCAGGTTTAGAGGAGCTGGTATCATCACCGGATGAATGCTTGCTGCTTGGTTTGGATTTGGTTGAAACGGGCTGCTTGTCGTCAGATGAACTTGGTGAGCTGCTAGAAGTACTGTCAATAGATGTCTTTGGCTGATCCTTGTGACCAATGTCAGCTGGTTTCGAGGAGCTGGTATCAATACTCGAAAAATGCTTGCTGCTTGGTTTGGATTTGGTTGATGCCGGTTTCTTGTCGTCAGATGAACTTGGTGAGCTGCTAGAAGTACTGTCATCAGATGTCTTCGGCTGATCCTTGCGACCAATGTCAGCAGGTTTCGAGAAGCTGGTATCATCACTAGAAGAATGCTTGCTGCTGGGTTTAGGTTTGGTTGATGCAGGCTTCTTGTCGTCAGATGAATTTGGTGAGCTGCTAGAAGTACTGTCGTCAGATGTCTTCGGCTGATCATTGCGATCAATGTCAGCAGGTTTGGAGGAGCTGATATCATCTGACTTAGATCTGGATGGTGATCGACATCTGTCAACCTTCACTTCTGCTTCTTTTATATCTCGTTCTGAAGATGAATCATCTTCCTTAGAATCCGATTCAGGTTTCTTTGACAACGACAAATCAAGGGTGACTTCTTTATCGGATTCAGACTTTTTCGAGCTACCTGGACTTCGGCTTACCGGTTTTGATCTGGTTTGTTTGGGTGAGCCTTGAGCGTGGGGGCTGGAATTCTTTCTTCACGATCGGTTACAAGAATGTTGTGTGGTTTGATTTGTTGAGCGGCTTCTTGTCGTCAGTGAACTGGTGAACTGTTAGAGTACTGTCTTAGATGTTTGGCTGATCTTGACAATTCAGCGTTGAGGAGCTGTATCATCTAAAATGTTGCTGCTTGGTTGATTGTGTGCGTTCTTGTCGCAGAACTGTGACTGTAAAGTATGTCATCAGAGTCTTGTGATCTGTGACAATGTCGCGGTAGAGTGATCTCAGAAATGTTGGGGTTTGTGGTTTGCGGCTTCTTGTGTCAGTGATGTGGCTCAGAGTATGTCCAGAGTCTTGGTGTCTTGGACATGTCAGCGTTGAGGATGTATCTACTGGAATGCTCTGTTTATTTTTCGTCTAGTGTCAGATGATTGGCGCAGTATTCATCGTTTGGCTGATCCTCATGTCGCGTTGAGAGTGTATCACTAGAGAAGTTGGCTGGTTGGATGGTGTGGTCTTGTCTAAACTGTGGTGAAGTATGTCAGTGTCTGGCTGTCTTGACCAATGTCAGAGTGGGGTGGTATATCAGGATGCTGTGCTGGTTTGGATTGGTTGAGCGCTTGTGTCATGAAGTGAGCGTAAGTCGTCATCAGATGTTGCTGATCCTTGCACCATTCAGCGGTTTGGGGACGATTGTTGCTGCTGTGAATGATCATCGTTCTTTTCTCAATAACTTCTGAATCCGTCAGTTCTTTGACAACGAATCAGGTGTTCTTATGAAGACTTTCAGCTTGTGAAGGTTGATCTGCTTGTATGGGTAATTGAAGCGATGGGCTGGATCATTCGACGACATTACCAAGATCTTGTGTGTTTGTTGTAGCGGCTCTTGTTCGAAGGTAGTAGATTCGTTGTGCTTGTGTCCTTGACAATTGCGGTTGAGAGCTGTTATCACTGGAGTGCTGCTTGTATTTCGCTCTTGTTAATGAACTGTGTCTGAAGTACGTCTCAGTGCTTTGTGTCCTGTGCATCAGAGTTTCGAGCTGGTCTCACTGAATCTTGCTGCTTGATTTGGTTGAGCGCTCTGTGTCAGGAATTGGTGATGTGATACTGTCAGTGTCTTCGCTGATCTGGACAATGTCAGCGGTTAAGGCTGGTATATCACAATGCTTGCTGTGGTTGGTTGGTTGATGCGCTCTTGGTCGTGACTGTGAGGCAAGATGACGATGTCTGCTGTCTGCATGTCGGTTTGAGAGCTGGTATCATCACTATCTTGTGTTGGTTATTTTCCGTCTTTTATAACTGGTCTGAAATGACTTTCGTCTGGACCATTCAGGTTTGCGGACTGGTTCTCCTAGATAGTTTTTGTTGGATTGGTTACGGTTTTGTCTCTACTTGTGGCCAAGCAGGTGGCTGTTTCATCGAGTGGTACACGAATGTTGCGTGTGTTTGTGATGGTTCTGTCGTCAGATAACGGGGATTGAATACGTTCGATTCTTGTGATCTTGCAAGTCGGTTTGAGAGTGGTTCTACTAGGAAGTGTGCTGGTTTAGTTGGTTTTGCTTCTGTGAGATGACTTCTAATCGTCTCTGCGACTTGGCTCAGAGGTTCAGACTTTTCGAGCTCCTGGTTTGGTTAACGGTTTTGTCCGCTTTGATCTGGTACCATAGAGTGGGACTGGACAATTCGCGATAGCTTACCAAAGAATCTTGCTGCTGATTTGGATTTGTTGAAGCGGGCTTCTTGTCGTCAGATGAACTGGGTGAACTGTTAGAAGTACTGTCGTTAGATGTCTTCGGCTGATCCTTGCGACCAATGTCAGCAGGTTTATAGGAGCTGGTATCATCACCGGATGAATGCTTGCTGCTTGGTTTGGATTTGGTTGAAGCGGGCTTCATGTCGTCAGATGAAATGGGTGAGCTGCTAGAAGTACTGTCATCAGATATCTTCGGCTGATCCTTGCGACCAATGTCAGCAGGTTTAGAGGAGCTGGTATCATCACCGGATGAATGCTTGCTGCTTGGTTTAGATTTGGTTGTTGCCAGCTTCTTGTCGTCAGATGAACTTGGTGAGCTGCTAGAAGTACTGTCAATAGATGTCTTTGGCTGATCCTTGTGACCAATGTCAGCTGGTTTCGAGGAGCTGGTATCAATACTCGAAAAATGCTTGCTGCTTGGTTTGGATTTGGTTGATGCCGGTTTCTTGTCGTCAGATGAACTTGGAGAGCTGCTAGAAGTACTGTCATCAGATGTCTTCGGCTGATCCTTGCGACCAATGTCAGCAGGTTTCGAGAAGCTGGTATCATCACTAGAAGAATGCTTGCTGCTTGGTTTAGATTTGGTTGATGCAGGCTTCTTGTCGTCAGATGAACTTGGTGAGCTGCTAGAAGTACTGTCGTCAGATGTCTTCGGCTGATCATTGCGATCAATGTCAGAAGGTTTGGAGGAGCTGATATCATCTGACTTAGATCTGGATGGTGATCGACATCTGTCAACCTTCACTTCTGCTTCTTTTATATCTCGTTCTGAAGATGAATCATCTTCCTTGGAATCCGATTCAGGTTTCTTTGACAACGACAAATCAAGGGTGACTTCCTTATCAGATTCAGATTTTTTCGAGCTACCTGGACTTCGGCTTACCGGTTTTGATCCTGGCTTTTGATCTTGGGCTGACGCACTTGAAGACGATGGGGAGCTGGAACTCTTATCTTCAACCGAATCCGGCTTACCACAAGAATGGTTGCTGCTTGGTTTTGATTTAGTTGACGCGGGCTTCTTGTCGTCAGATGAACTGGGTGAACTGTTAGAAGTACTGTCGTTAGATGTCTTCGGCTGATCCTTGCGACCAATGTCAGCAGGGTTAGAGGAGCTGGTATCATCACTAAAAGAATGGTTGCTGCTTGGTTTAGATTTGGTTGTTGCCGGCTTCTTGTCGTCAGATGAACTTGGTGAGCTGCTAGAAGTACTGTCATCAGATGTCTTTGGCTGATTCTTGTGACCAATGTCAGCAGGCTTCGAGGAGCTGGTATCATCACTAGAAGAATGCTTGCTGCTGGGTTTAGGTTTGGTTGATGCAGGCTTCTTGTCGTCAGCTGAACTTGGTGAGCTGCTAGAAGTACTGTCGTCAGATGTCTTCGGCTGATCATTGCGACCAATGTCAGCAGGTTTGGAGGAGCTGATATCATCTGACTTAGATCTTGAAGGTGGTCGAGATCTGTCAACTTTCACTTCTTCTTCTTTTATATCTCGTTCTGAAGATGAATCATCTTCCTTGGAATCCGATTCAGGTTTCTTTGACAACGACAAATCAAGAGTGACTTCCTTATCGGATTCAAACTTTTTCGAGCTACCTGGACTTCGGCTTACCGATTTTGATCCTGGCTTTTGATCTTGGGCTGACACACTTGAAGACGATGAGGAGCTGGAACTCTTATCTTCAACCGAATCCGGCTTACCACAAGAATGGTTGCTGCTTGGTTTGGATTTGGTTGAAGTGGGCTTCTTGTCGTCAGATAAACTGGATGAGCTAATAGAAGTACTGTTGTCAGATGTCTTCGGCTGATCCTTGCGACCAATGTCAGCAGGTTTAGAGGAGCTGGTATCATCACCGGATGAATGCTTGCTGCTTGGTTTGGATTTGGTTGAAGCGGGCTTCTTGTCGTCAGATGAAACGGGTGAGCTGCTAGAAGTACTGTCATCAGATGTCTTCGGCTGATCCTTGCGACCAATGTCAGCAGGTTTAGAGGAGCTGGTATCATCACCGGATGAATGCTTGCTGCTTGGTTTAGATTTGGTTGTTGCCAGCTTCTTGTCGTCAGATGAACTTGGTGAGCTGCTAGAAGTACTGTCAACAGATGTCTTTGGCTGATCTTTGTGACCAATGTCAGCAGGTTTCGAGGAGCTGGTATCATCACTAGAAGAATGGTTGCTGCTTGGTTTGGATTTGGTTGATGCCGGCTTCTTGTCGTCATATGAACTTGGTGAGCTGCTAGAAGTACTGTCAATAGATGTCTTTGGCTGATCCTTGTGACCAATGTCAGCTGGTTTCGAGGAGCTGGTATCAATACTCGAAAAATGCTTGCTGCTTGGTTTGGATTTGGTTGATGCCGGTTTCTTGTCGTCAGATGAACTTGGAGAGCTGCTAGAAGTACTGTCATCAGATGTCTTCGGCTGATCCTTGCGACCAATGTCAGCAGGTTTCGAGAAGCTGGTATCATCACTAGAAGAATGCTTGCTGCTGGGTTTAGGTTTGGTTGATGCAGGCTTCTTGTCGTCAGATGAACTTGGTGAGCTGCTAGAAGTACTGTCGTCAGATGTCTTCGGCTGATCATTGCGATCAATGTCAGAAGGTTTGGAGGAGCTGATATCATCTGACTTAGATCTGGATGGTGATCGACATCTGTCAACCTTCACTTCTGCTTCTTTTATATCTCGTTCTGAAGATGAATCATCTTCCTTGGAATCCGATTCAGGTTTCTTTGACAACGACAAATCAAGGGTGACTTCCTTATCAGATTCAGATTTTTTCGAGCTACCTGGACTTCGGCTTACCGGTTTTGATCCTGGCTTTTGATCTTGGGCTGACGCACTTGAAGACGATGGGGAGCTGGAACTCTTATCTTCAACCGAATCCGGCTTACCACAAGAATGGTTGCTGCTTGGTTTTGATTTAGTTGACGCGGGCTTCTTGTCGTCAGATGAACTGGGTGAACTGTTAGAAGTACTGTCGTTAGATGTCTTCGGCTGATCCTTGCGACCAATGTCAGCAGGGTTAGAGGAGCTGGTATCATCACTAAAAGAATGGTTGCTGCTTGGTTTAGATTTGGTTGTTGCCGGCTTCTTGTCGTCAGATGAACTTGGTGAGCTGCTAGAAGTACTGTCATCAGATGTCTTTGGCTGATTCTTGTGACCAATGTCAGCAGGCTTCGAGGAGCTGGTATCATCACTAGAAGAATGCTTGCTGCTGGGTTTAGGTTTGGTTGATGCAGGCTTCTTGTCGTCAGCTGAACTTGGTGAGCTGCTAGAAGTACTGTCGTCAGATGTCTTCGGCTGATCATTGCGACCAATGTCAGCAGGTTTGGAGGAGCTGATATCATCTGACTTAGATCTTGAAGGTGGTCGAGATCTGTCAACTTTCACTTCTTCTTCTTTTATATCTCGTTCTGAAGATGAATCATCTTCCTTGGAATCCGATTCAGGTTTCTTTGACAACGACAAATCAAGAGTGACTTCCTTATCGGATTCAAACTTTTTCGAGCTACCTGGACTTCGGCTTACCGATTTTGATCCTGGCTTTTGATCTTGGGCTGACACACTTGAAGACGATGAGGAGCTGGAACTCTTATCTTCAACCGAATCCGGCTTACCACAAGAATGGTTGCTGCTTGGTTTGGATTTGGTTGAAGTGGGCTTCTTGTCGTCAGATAAACTGGATGAGCTAATAGAAGTACTGTTGTCAGATGTCTTCGGCTGATCCTTGCGACCAATGTCAGCAGGTTTAGAGGAGCTGGTATCATCACCGGATGAATGCTTGCTGCTTGGTTTGGATTTGGTTGAAGCGGGCTTCTTGTCGTCAGATGAAACGGGTGAGCTGCTAGAAGTACTGTCATCAGATGTCTTCGGCTGATCCTTGCAACCAATATCAGCAGGTTTGGAGGAACTGATATCATTGACTTAGATCTGGACGGTGATCGACATCTGGCAACCTTCACTTCTGCTTCTTTTATGTCTCGTTCTGAAAATGAATCCTCTTCCTTGGAATCCGATTCAGGTTTCTTTGACAACGACAAATCAAGAGTGACTTCCTTATCGGATTCAGACTTTTTCGAGCTACCTTGACTTTGGCTAACCGGTTTTGATCCTGGCTTTTGATATTGGGCTGAAAAACTTGAAGACGATGGGGAGCTGGAACTCTCATCTTCGACCGAATCCAGCTTACCAGAAGAATTCTTGCTGCTTGATTTGGATTTTGTTGAAGCGGGCTTCTTGTCGTCAGATGAACAGGGTAGAGCTGCTAGAAGTACTGTCGTTAGATGTCTTCGGCTGATCCTTGCGACCAATGTCAGCAGGTTTAGAGGAGCTGGTATCATCACTAGAAGAATGCTTGCTGCTTGGTTTGGATTTGGTTGATGCCGGCTTCTTGTCGTCAGATGAACTTGGTGAGCTGCTAGAAGTACTGTCATCAGATGTCTTCGGCTGATCCTTGCGACCAATGTCAGCAGGTTTCGAGGAGCTGGTATCATCACTAGAAGAATGCTTGCTGCTTGGTTTGGATTTGGTTGATGCCGGCTTCTTGTCGTCAGATGAACTTGGTGAGCTGCTAGAAGTACTGTCATCAGATGTCTTCGGCTGATCCTTGCGAGCAATGTCAGCAGGTTTAGAGGAGCTGGTATCATCACTAGAAGAATGCTTGCTGCTTGGTTTGGATTTGGTTGATGCCGGCTTCTTGTCGTCAGATGAACTTGGTGAGCTGCTAGAAGTACTGTCATCAGATGTCTTCGGCTGATCCTTGTAAGCAATGTCAGCAGGTTTAGAGGAGCTGGTATCATCACTAGAAGAATGCTTGCTGCTTGGTTTGGATTTGGTTGATGCCGGCTTCTTGTCGTCAGATGAACTTGGTGAGCTGCTAGAAGTACTGTCATCAGATGTCTTCGGCTGATCCTTGCGACCTATGTCAGCAGGTTTTGCGGAGCTGGTATCATCACTAGAATAATGCTTGCTGCTTGGTTTGGATTTGGTTGATGCCGGCTTCTTGTCGTCAGATGAACTTGGTGAGCTGCTACAAGTACTGTCATCAGATGTCTTTGGCTGATCCTTGTGACCAATGTCAGCAGGTTTTGAGGAGCTGGTATCATCACTAGAAGAATGCTTGCTGCTTGGTTTGGATTTGGTTGATGCCGGCTTCTTGTCGTCAGATGAACAGGGTGAACTGTTAGAAGTACTGTCATCAGATGTCTTTGGCTGATCCTTGTAAGCAATGTCAGCAGGTTTAGAGTAGCTGGTATCATCACTAGAAGAATGCTTGCTGCTTGGTTTAGATTTGGTTTTTGCCGGCTTCTTGTTGTCAGATGAACTTAGTGAGCTGCTAGAAGTACTGTCATCAGATGTCTTTTGCTGATCCTTGCGACCTATGTCAGCAGGTTTCGAGGAGCTGGTATCATCACTAGAAGAATGCTTGCTGCTTGGTTTGGATTTGGTTGATGCCGGCTTCTTGTCGTCAGATGAACTTGGTGAGCTGCTAGAAGTACTGTCATCAGATGTCTTCGGCTGATCCTTGCGAGCAATGTCAGCAGGTTTAGAGGAGCTGGTATCATCACTAGAAGAATGCTTGCTGCTGGGTTTAGGTTTGGTTGATGCCGGCTTCTTGTCGTCAGATGAACTTGGTGAGCTGCTAGAAGTACTGTCATCAGATGTCTTCGGCTGATCCTTGTAAGCAATGTCAGCAGGTTTAGAGGAGCTGGTATCATCACTAGAAGAATGCTCGCTGCTTGGTTTGGATTTGGTTGATGCCGGCTTCTTGTCGTCAGATGAACTTGGTGAGCTGCTAGAAGTACTGTCATCAGATGTCTTCGGCTGATCCTTGCGACCTATGTCAGCAGGTTTTGCGGAGCTGGTATCATCACTAGAATAATGCTTGCTGCTTGGTTTGGATTTGGTTGATGCCGGCTTCTTGTCGTCAGATGAACTTGGTGAGCTGCTACAAGTACTGTCATCAGATGTCTTTGGCTGATCCTTGTGACCAATGTCAGCAGGTTTCGAGGAGCTGGTATCATCACTAGAAGAATGCTTGCTGCTTGGTTTGGATTTGGTTGATGCTGGCTTCTTGTCGTCAGATGAACTTGGTGAGCTGCTAGAAGTACTGTCATCAGATGTCTTCGGCTGATCCTTGCGACCAATGTCAGCAGGTTTCGAGGAGCTGGTATCATCACTAGAAGAATGCTTGCTGCTGGGTTCAGGTTTGGTTAATGCAGGCTTCTTGTCGTCAGATGAACTTGGTGAGCTAATAGAATTACTGTTGTCAGATGTCTTCGGCTGATCATTCCGACCAATGTCAGCAGGTTTGAAGGAGCTGATATCATCTGACTTAGATCTGGACGGTGATCGACATCTGTCAACCTTCACTTCTGCTTCTTTTATATCTCGTTTTGAAGTTGAATCATCTTCCTTGGAATCCGATTCAGGTTTCTTTGACAACGACAAATCAAAGGTGACTTCCTTATCAGATTCAGACTTTTTCGAGCTAGCTGGACTTCGGCTTACCGGTTTTGATCCTGGCTTTTGATCTTGGGCTAACGCACTTGAAGACGATGGGGAGCTGGAACTCTTATTTTCGACCGAATCCAGCTTACCAGAAGAATTCTTGCTGCTTGATTTGGATTTGGTTGAAGCGGGCTTCTTGTCGTCAGATGAACTGGGTGAACTGTTAGAAGTACTGTCGTTAGATGTCTTCGGCTGATCCTTGCGACCAATGTCAGCAGGTTTATAGGAGCTGGTATCATCACCGGATGAATGCTTGCTGCTTGGTTTGGATTTGGTTGAAGCGGGCTTCATGTTGTCAGATGAAATGGGTGAGCTGCTAGAAGTACTGTCATCAGATGTCTTCGGCTGATCCTTGCGACCAATGTCAGCAGGTTTAGAGGAGCTGGTATCATCACCGGATGAATGCTTGCTGCTTGGTTTAGATTTGGTTGTTGCCAGCTTCTTGTCGTCAGATGAACTTGGTGAGCTGCTAGAAGTACTGTCAACAGATGTCTTTGGCTGATCTTTGTGACCAATGTCAGCAGGTTTCGAGGAGCTGGTATCATCACTAGAAGAATGGTTGCTGCTTGGTTTGGATTTGGTTGATGCCGGCTTCTTGTCGTCATATGAACTTGGTGAGCTGCTAGAAGTACTGTCAATAGATGTCTTTGGCTGATCCTTGTGACCAATGTCAGCTGGTTTCGAGGAGCTGGTATCAATACTCGAAAAATGCTTGCTGCTTGGTTTGGATTTGGTTGATGCCGGTTTCTTGTCGTCAGATGAACTTGGAGAGCTGCTAGAAGTACTGTCATCAGATGTCTTCGGCTGATCCTTGCGACCAATGTCAGCAGGTTTCGAGAAGCTGGTATCATCACTAGAAGAATGCTTGCTGCTGGGTTTAGGTTTGGTTGATGCAGGCTTCTTGTCGTCAGATGAACTTGGTGAGCTGCTAGAAGTACTGTCGTCAGATGTCTTCGGCTGATCATTGCGATCAATGTCAGAAGGTTTGGAGGAGCTGATATCATCTGACTTAGATCTGGATGGTGATCGACATCTGTCAACCTTCACTTCTGCTTCTTTTATATCTCGTTCTGAAGATGAATCATCTTCCTTGGAATCCGATTCAGGTTTCTTTGACAACGACAAATCAAGGGTGACTTCCTTATCAGATTCAGATTTTTTCGAGCTACCTGGACTTCGGCTTACCGGTTTTGATCCTGGCTTTTGATCTTGGGCTGACGCACTTGAAGACGATGGGGAGCTGGAACTCTTATCTTCAACCGAATCCGGCTTACCACAAGAATGGTTGCTGCTTGGTTTTGATTTAGTTGACGTGGGCTTCTTGTCGTCAGATGAACTGGGTGAACTGTTAGAAGTACTGTCGTTAGATGTCTTCGGCTGATCCTTGCGACCAATGTCAGCAGGTTTAGAGGAGCTGGTATCATCACTAAAAGAATGGTTGCTGCTTGGTTTAGATTTGGTTGTTGCCGGCTTCTTGTCGTCAGATGAACTTGGTGAGCTGCTAGAAGTACTGTCATCAGATGTCTTCGGCTGATCCTTGCGACCAATGTCAGCAGGTTTAGAGGAGCTGGTATCATCACTAAAAGAATGGTTGCTGCTTGGTTTAGATTTGGTTGTTGCCGGCTTCTTGTCGTCAGGTGAACTTGGTGAGCTGCTAGAAGTACTGTCATCAGATGTCTTTGGCTGATTCTTGTGACCAATGTCAGCAGGCTTCGAGGAGCTGGTATCATCACTAGAAGAATGCTTGCTGCTGGGTTTAGGTTTGGTTGATGCAGGCTTCTTGTCGTCAGCTGAACTTGGTGAGCTGCTAGAAGTACTGTCGTCAGATGTCTTCGGCTGATCATTGCGACCAATGTCAGCAGGTTTGGAGGAGCTGATATCATCTGACTTAGATCTTGAAGATGGTCGAGATCTGTCAACTTTCACTTCTTCTTCTTTTATATCTCGTTCTGAAAATGAATCATCTTCCTTGGAATCCGATTCAGGTTTCTTTGACAACGACAAATCAAGAGTGACTTCCTTATCGGATTCAAACTTTTTCGAGCTACCTGGACTTCGGCTTACCGGTTTTGATCCTGGCTTTTGATCTTGGGCTAACGCACTTGAAAACAATGGGGAGCTGGAACTTTCATCTTCGGCCGAATCCAGCTTACCAGAAGAATTCTTGCTGCTTGATTTGTATTTGGTTGAAGCGGGCTTCTTGTCGTCAGATGAACTTGGTGAGCTGCTAGAAGTACTGTCATCAGATGTCTTCGGCTGATCCTTGCGACAAATGTCAGCAGGTTTCGAGGAGCTGGTATCATCATTAGAAAAATGCTTGCTGCTGGGCTTAGGTTTGGTTGATGCAGGCTTCTTGTCGTCAGATGAACTTGTTGAGCTGCTAGAAATACTGTCATCAGATGTTTTCGGCTGATCCTTGCGACCAATGTCAGCAGGTTTCGAGGAGCTGGTATCATCACTAGAAGAATGCTTGCTGCTGGGTTTAGTTTTGGTTGATGCAGGCTTCTTGTTGTCAGATGAACTTGGTGAGCTGCTAGAAGTACTGTCGTCAGATGTTTTCGACTGATCCTTGCGACCAATGTGAGCAGGTTTGGAGGAGCTGATATCATCTGATTTAAATCTGGACGGTGATCGACATCTGGCAACCTTCACTTTTGC